GGAAATAGCCTCTCTACTTTTAGTAGGGGTAAGGTCTGTGTACATACACCCTCCCCGGACCCTGCTTTTGTGTGATTCTATTGGGTTGTTGTTGTAATCTCATCTTTGCATGGACTTCTGATAATTAGATCATCAATGTATACTCCAATTACTAATGGTCCATTCTTCGTGGTTTTCTTGTATACAACATGTTCACGTGTTCACTGCTTGAAAACAAGTTGTTGTAGAGTTGCATCTAACTTCGAATTCCAAGCTCTTGGGGCTTGCTTCAAGCCATATAAAGCTTTTACCAGTTTCTACACGAGATGTTCCATGCCCGGTTTCTCAAACCCCTTGGGTTGTGATGCATATACATCCTCCTTTAAGTCTTCATGTAAGAAAGCTGTCTTGACATCAAGCTGGTGAATCCCACCCTTCTTGTGAAGCTAGGGACAAAAGCAAACACACTGTTTCCATTTGGGCAACCAGAACAAGCACCTCATTGTAGTCGATACCATGTTTTTGGACATACCCTTTTGCGACGGGTCTCGCTTTATAGTGAATTATATTATCTTTGGCATCCTTTTTGGCTTTATAAACCCACTTCGGACCAATCAGTTTAACTCCTTTAGGGAGTTCAACCAATTTCCAAGTTCCATTTTGTTCAATATAGTCCAATGCTACTAGTCTGAGTTGATCCCTGACCAGTCACAAAGGCTTCATTTTCAACAACAAATTCAACCCAACTTCGATTTTCTGTCTCCAAATCTTTAGCCCAGTCCCATGATTTGTTTTCTTCAAATTGGACATCCCTGCTAACATATAATCCTTTTGTCTCTGGGTTGTAAAGCCGGTATGCTTTGCTTCCTGGTTCACTTCCGAGATGTGCCATTGACTCACTCCTATTGCCAATTTCGTTAGTTTGGCTGATGGTCCTTTGAGCTGTACATCAAAACACCTTTAGGTGTTCCAAATTGGACTTTTATCCTTTCAAGGCTTCATACGTGGTCTTCTTTTCCAAAGCTTTTGTCGGTGTTCGGTTCAAGATGTTGACATCATGTCGTACACCTTTTCTCCACATACGTCATGTGTTGTCTTTCTTTTTAACCAATAACACAGGGCTAGACTGCTAGAGAATGGGCTGGTGCTGGCCCTTATAAACCCTGCTGTCTGCAGTGTTTGCACTTGCTTTTCAATCTCATTTTTTTGTGAATGGGGGTATCGGTAAGTGCGCATATTAGGAGGTACAGTATTGGGTAATAGAGGGATAGAGTGATAGTGTGATCGAAATGGTGGAATGGTTGTAGGTTCAAGGAATACAGATGCAAAGTTTTGGAATAATGATTGTAAGCCTGTGGGTATCTCGGGTAGGGTTTCCGATTCAATACTAAGGTGTTGAAAAGCTGCAGACTGCTGAGGACCAGAAACTAAGCCTTGCAGCTTGTATTTCTGCCCATTGTTGGTGAAAATAAGGAACATTTCATTCCAATTAGCCTGCACGGTGTTTAGAGATGCCAACCATTGAATTCCTAGGACAACATCTGCTCCTCCAATTGAAAAAGGATAGAAGTCCTGAGTAATTTTAAGCTCTGGCAGCTGTAGAGGAATATCTCTGCATGCTTTATTACAATTTGAACCCCAAATGGCGGTACCAGTTGGGTTGTTAACTTTAATTCCTGCACCAAGTTATCTGAGATAAAATTATGAGTTGAGCCACTATCAACTAAAATTAGGACATCTGTTGCATTTATAGTTCCATGTAGCTTCATTGTAGTGGTGTGTGATTTGCCCAAGATGGCGTGTAGACTAATTTCCGCTAGATCTTCCTGGGAAATAGCCTCTTCTTCTCCCACAACTTGTACGGAATCATCCTTTTCCTTCGTCGCATTTAGTAATTTGAAAGTCCCGGTTTTACATCGGTGTCCAGGACTATACTTGTCCCCACATCGAAAACATTCACCCCTTAGGAAGCGTGCCTGTTTCTCAGTATCAGAAATGCGTAAAGGAGGATTCTTTTGAGGAAGAGGTGGAGGATTATTGGGAGGATTTGGTTGTGAGAGAGTTTTGAAACTGCCAGCAGAAGCAGCTCCTCTTCCTGAACGAGAACTTTCAATCTTAGATTCAAATTCAAGGGCTAGGCTCATCGTATTGTACACCGTCCTAGGCTTATGAATCCTGACATCCGCCTTTAACTCCTCCTTGAGTCCATTCAGAAAGACCCCTAGCAGGCAGTTATCCGGCCAATTGGAAACGCGAGCAGATCGTTTGGTGAATTTCTGTCTATATTTTTTTACGGATCCGGTCTGCTTGATACTGCACAAGTACTCATCAGGATTTTGATATTCAGCAGGACCAAAATTCTTTTGTAATGCCTGAACCAGATCTTCCCAGTAGATGATAGCCTGATCCGCATTTAGCCATGAATACAGGTCTAAGGCGTCCCTTCCAAGTACATGACCGCAATATCCACCTTTTCATCTTCAGGTACATTGTAGTAACGGAAATACTTTTCTGCCTTTAGAATCCAGCCTCTAGGTTCTCCTTCACTAAATACAGGGAAATCTATCTTGTTATATAAGGGCGATAAGGACGTATTGTTTCTCCACGAGTACTCACCATCATCGGCAGGATCTTTTTGACCATCTTTAGAACCGCTGTTACTGGAAGATGTAGCATGAGACTTGAGGGCGGCGACGTCATCTTTCAGGGATTCCATGACTGCTAGTCTCTCGGCAATGGCGGCTAACTGGACGGCAATGGGGTCAGGTTCTGCACCCCCGCCTTCCGATTGGTTACTCCGGGTTGTTGGTGCCATTCGATTTCCCGGCAATGGAACCAAATGACAAAGCTTGAGTCAAATTGATTGAATTTAGAATGAAAAAGTGTACATCAAGTCCCAATTCGAGAAGGGATGGTCTCCAAATTCTCAAAGGAAAATACAATGAAAATAATCACCCAAGAAAATAACATGACTCTAAGTAATAAATCCCACTCTGAGGGGAGTTGGGTAACTGCTACATAACCACCCACTCAGCCACTTGGTGGGTTGTTTGAAATGCCCATTAACATTTTGAGCTGCTCCACTTCTGCCAGCCCACCCTTTTCCATCTTCCTTTTCCTTCTTGAATACACCAATCTGATTGGAGGTTATCACCGACACTTGGCAGAGAAATGACCAAGCCTATCACAATTATAGCACCGCAGGTTCCTTGTGTCACGTTTACCACCTCGCTCATCCTGTCCAGGTCTTTGGTTAGTAATTGAGGGGTTTCAGCCCCCTCGTCCACGACCGCTAGATCTGCCACGCCCACGACCTCGGCCATGGTGATCCCTAAATCCTGTTCCACGACCCCTGCCGGATTGCGTTGACTTGGTTTACGTTCTTTCTTTCCATTCAGCCCTTGTTAACAACATTTCATTGGATGAATCTTTGACTGGTCCACCACCAAGTGTAATCAGTTCCTCATAGGCCTTGAAGCTAGCAACAGCTTTTTCAAATGCCATAGTATTCAAGTCTGAATACTGTTCTATTGTGGCAACAATTGGAAGGAACTTGTTTGTGGCAGAATTAAGCAACTTATTTACTTGTTTCTTCTCCTCAATTGTCGATCCGAGTGCCCGAAACTTAGACACGATCTTGCTGATTTGGTTTGCCATGTCATCAATACTCTCACTTTTCTTCATTCTCAACAATTCAACTCTCTGTTCAAAGTTTGAATTCATGCTTGTTTTACCTGATCGGCTCCATGAAAATGCATCCTAAGTGCATCTCACATGTCCTTGGCCTCTGCATGTCCTGCTACTTGCAGCAGAATGTCTTCGAGCAGCGCCTGGAAGATAAAGGCCCTTGCCTTTTTCCGGATGCTGACGTCCACCTCCGTCACATCCGGTGGTGATTCTATGGCATCCCGAATTCCTTGGGCATCCATAAGCGACTGCATCTTGATAGTCCAAAGCATATAATTTGTTGTAGTGAGTACAGGACATTGAAACGTTGTCGAGCCTCCTTCTCGAGCTGGGGTAATAACAACAGCATCGCTTGTTTTTATAGCATTAATAGCCTCCATCACAGTCAATTGTTTTTTGGGGTGTATTTGCAAGTAAAACTAGCGATCAGATCTGTGTTTGGTTTCTTCAATCAGTGCTACAATACTTATTGTAAGGCAATATTAGAACAAAGCATAAACACAGAATATTTTGTGGTTAAAATACACTATCTGGATTCTTTGTGAAGTCAACTTATTAAAATACAGGAAAAATTTGCCAGGAACTGCCCATAACTTTTTTTATTGTATAATAATAATAATAATAATAATAATAATAATAATAATAATAATAATAATACTCCGTAATAATAATAATGATAATTTGTTAAAGTAATTCTGAACTGGAATTAACCAACAGGGTTGTTGTTTTTGAGCAACCCAAAACTGATATCAATTGAAAAAGTGAAGATTGATTGATTGAAGTAACTGATCGGTTGTGAAGAACAATAAATTTGATCTCCTGGGTGGTGATGGTGATGAAAGGAAGCTAGGGGAGTGAAAACACACTACGCACTACTACAATAGCAGTAACACAAAACTTCAAAGTCAAACAGCAATAGGGGAGTCATAACGATGAACAAAGAATGGATAACAATGAATGCAGTCTACGCCCGCCATGGCAGCGGAAGTAAGAAGAGGAAGGAGCACAATGATAAAGAGAAAATCCAAGAAAAATGACTATTAATTGTGTTGATGAACAATACATTACAAGAGATGTGTATGTGTACACACACACACAAGATAAGAGGGCAAACACTCCAACAACAAACCCATATATATCCACAAGTGCGGTCTGGGGAGGGTAAGATGTATGTATACCTTACCTCATCTTGTGAAGTGTGAAGGGTAGAGTGCCTGTTTCCCATATATCCTAGTTCCTCAATATCTAGTGAGAGTTTTCATTAGTCAAAGACATGATGACCGTTGTGGCTGTAATTAGAACAGTTCTGATGTGATCTTACTTCATAAATGCAGATGCTCAATAGGGACCATGGCTATCCGTTGCGTGTGATTGTACCAGGGGTAATAGGTGCCCGATCTGTTAAGTGGCTAGATTCTATCAATATCATCGCTGAAGAGTGTCAGGTGCACACTAGTTTATGTATCACTTAGCATGATTTTTTTCTGCATTACAATGCACTAACTCTGTGGCAACAAGCTGCAGGGATTCTTTATGCAAAAGGATTATAAGATGTTTCCACCTACAGTTGATTGGGATAACATCAATTGGTCTAGTAGGAGACCACAAATGGATTTCCCAGTACAGGTAACTTGTATGTCATTTTGTGTAGTAATGGAATGGGATTTCTTCTAGTATCATATGGTGAAAGACTAAATAAGCATCTTCTTAAATTTCAATTGATATGAATGTGCATATACTTTTTGTGAACATGAACTTAAAATTTTGGTGATAATTGACATGTTTCCCCATTTGAATGTATGCATGTCTAGTTTTAGATTGGTAACTTAACTGATCTTTGAATAGATATCAAGCTTGTGATACTCTTGGATACTTAGTCTTGCACTGTGCTTAAGTTGCCATGAATGATTCAGAACACTCCTGGGTTTTATTTGCGTTGGTCCATTGAAACAAAATGAGCAAGTCCCTCATGCAAGTAGGTTTTAGGGACAGTGAGGCGCGTAGGCCTTGCGTCTACTATAAAGGGTAGATAGGCTGTTTCTATTAAGATACCCCTGCTAAGGGAAAAACTGGAAGTGTCAATATAAAAACAAGATCGATGCTTGATAGGTGACCATTAGTGGGAATTCTGCGTAATAAAAAGTTTATGATGAAAAAGACTAGCAATAAGAAACATAAACCATAAAGCTGTTCAAAAGCATAAATTATTGTATTATTGCCAGAATTTTTATAACCTTTTTGTTGTTTTATCCTTTCTCTCAAAAGTAGGCATGCATGGTTATGAAACAAAGAGCACTGAAATTGTTTACTTTGAGAGATTGTTAACTTTATCTATAGTTGATTTGACTGTTGATATCCTTTGCCTATTTAGTTTTCCAAGCCATTGACTCCATGCTTCGATGCAAATTCCTTGTGATATCATGCTATCTTGGTCATGTTTGTAGACTTTTACAAACAGCCAATATCCATTCTCCATCCCAGAATAATTATATAAGTAAAAATTAAACAAAAAACCAGTTGTCCACCATCCAATGCCAATGGAGGTGAAAGAGTCATTTTGGAAAATGATTTAGCTTCTGATAAAAAACAGAAATAGTCATTTTGAACAATGTTTAAGCTTTTGATAAAAAAGGGATTAAATCAAAGTGACACTTAAATTTTCTTGTTTCTTACTTTCTATGAAGTTTTGGGTAGTAAATGTAGCAACGCATCAAGGGTCTAACGAAAACAACCTCCCTGTTTTTTTACAGAGGAAAGGTTGCGTACATCTTCACCCCCATGCTCCGACGAAATCCGGATCAGATTGGGTTTTTGTTGTAAAAACTCCCTTGTCTCACATAAGTTAGATTGGAAGAACTTATGATGAAATCTTTATATCACAACCTTGATTACTTTTTTATTGTTTACAGAGTGCAATATGTTCTTTAGAGGATGCTAGTGTTCTCAGGAATGGCAAGGTTAGTGTCATCATGTATGATTTTTGTTATTTTGTTTCTTGCAATTTGTGATAAAAATTTGAACTATGTTAATGTAAAATGATATAGGCTACCTTTGCTATGCTTGTGTTTGGAAATATGATATTGGCAGCTTGATCTATCTTTTTTTGCGTAATCAGAAAAACGTGAATCGTGCCACATCAATAATTTATAACGATAAATGAACATCGTTAGTCCTCGGGTAAATTGTGAGACACATCATAACTTGTGATTATTTTAGTGTATAAAGTGCGATGTAAGATCTTTATTGGATTGACCAAACGTTAGATTATTTATGTCAATTTTTTTAAAATTAACATAAATACAATATATTGCTCCCTTTGTGCCACTACATTTGGGACACGTCTAAGTGACACAAATTAAGAAATGGAAAATTGTAATTGATATTGATATGTAAGAAAAAATATGAGTCACACAAATATTATGAAATATGGTTTTGAGACAAAACTAAGGGGACATACAAACAAATAATAAGAGACAAAAAACCGAAACAAATGGATTATAACATATTACTCCCTCCATCCCGATGAGTTTTGTCCACTTTCTTTTTGGGTTGTCCCAATGGGTTTGTCCACTTTCCTTGTTTGGAAAATAACTAAAGATAAGTTTACTATTTTACCATTACTATTCATTTATTACACCCAACTTATGAAAAGCTAGGGGCGTATTTGTAACTTCCTCTTTCTTATGTTTTTTCCTTGGTCTATGTGTAAAAAATAAGTTAGACGAACTCATTGGGACGAAGGGAGATAATGCAAAATATGAAATATAAAAAATGTACAACCTTTGTCTTGGAGTTTTTGTCCACTTTCTTTTTGGCACAAGGACCAATGTAGGGGGAACAATGTCCCAAATACTCTCCAATGTCGTTCTCCATTGTACCCATTTATGGCCGCCTAGCTCCCCCATCTGAAGGGCACACAACCAACCCCAACTTTCTCCACCATGCAACCCACGCCCTCACACACCACCTACCCCCACCCCACCTAGCAAGCTGTCACAGAGCAAGTGCACGCCGGAGAATCAAGAAAACGAGGGAATCTTGTGTCGTTTCTGTCTTCTAAGAAGTATGGATGCTCGTATCTTGATTAGCCGGTCAAAGTTTTCTCCGGGCAAGCTTTGGGCATTGGACTTCTCTTGCTTCCGATGGGTTTTCAATCGCAATCATATCTTAGATTTGCTCAGATTTGAGATTTGCATGCAATCTTGGCTTTGGATTTCTCTTGCTTCTAATTTGAGTATTTCACCTAGATGATTCTGATTGCTAATTGTTTCATCGTGTGTACATGATTCTTGCTTCCAGTTTGCGTTACAACAACAACCCAGTCGACTCCTACAACAGTGCATGGTCTGGTGAGGGTATGTGTACGCAGACCTTACTCCTACTAAAAGTAGAGGTTGTTTTCAGGAGACCCCTAGCTCAAGCAACATAGAGAAAAACTAGTATAACAAAAGCACAATATAACAAAAGCCCATGGAGCAAAAGGGGAAAAGAGCACGCTAAGATAAGAGACACCTAAAGAGATGTAAAAAGGACCTCAAGCCTACAAAGCTCACAACGAAGAGCAAACCTACCACCCCGGACAAAACGACTAACCAACAACCCTAGTACTAGATCTCCAAACATTCTTATCTAAGGTCAAATCCTCGGTGAGAGCTAGAAGTCGTGCTTAATAACCTCCTTCCAATTATTCTTAGGTCTATCCCTTCCCCTAAGCGCACCTCATATCGAAAGCCTCTCACATCTCCGCACCATGGCCTCTGGTTTCACTTGACCTAACCATCTCAACCTGGTCTCTCTTAGCTTATCCTCTACAGGTGTCACTCCTTCCCGTCTCTAAATAACTTCTTTCTGAATCGTATCAAGCCTCATTTTCCCACACGTCCACCGAAGCATACGCATTTTAGCCACATGGAGTTGACGATCGTGGGCCTTTTTGACTACCCAACACTTTGCACCATAAAGCATAGCTGGTCTGATAAAACCTACCTTCCAGAAATCTTCTTATCACACAGAACCCCTGACCCCAACTTTCACTTTGCCTAAGCAGCTCTGATACGGTGAACTACATCTCCGTCTATCTCACCATCCGCCTTAATGATTGAGCCAAGGTACTTAAACTTATCTCTCCTAGGTTAGGGTGTGCAATCTTAACTTCCACCTCCATCCGCCCTTTAAACCTACACTCCAAGTATGTTGAATCCGTGAGTACCCATCCGGTAGAGTGGGAACTTTCGAGTCTGCAAGGACCCTTTCTCGTGCTGCCTCAAATCTCGGGGCCAAGCCTGCCAAGAAAACTCATTGTTCCCATCTGCTCTCGGTGTTGTGGCTGAGTTTTGACATTAGGAGTGAAAGGAATTAATGAATTTAAGGTCTCATATGTTTTCTTGATATCCATGAAGTATGCTTGAAGAGATTGATCTTGCTGGTCTGCCCTATAGAATCCCCAAAAAATAAGACTTAGTGTCATGTTGTCATAGTATTAGTATATTATACTGAAATTAATGGATGCCGTTACTTGGGCCTTTTGACTTTTGTTGGTTAATTGCAAGTTGTTTTGCAAAAGATTGTCGTAATTTGTCATATTGGGTCGTGTGATCCATTATGGGTTAATTTTAAGTTGTTTTGCAAGATGGAAATCATTTTGAAATACTTAGATCTCATTTGGGTTTGTATATGCGTCTCCTTGCCTGATTAAAAGGATGGTCGGAGAGGTGTTTCATCACGAACTTTGAATACCTTAGAGCACCTGACTTTTTTTGTAGTAATAAATATGAATATATACTTTTATTTTGTAGATTCAGATGTTCCTTGATGCAACAACTAACGCCCAATTCCGTTCAACTTATTTTTTCTTATTCTTTCTTATTCTTATTAAAATCAAATCAGATCAAATCAGACCAGATCGAATCAGATTAGATCCAATGAAATCAAATCAGATCAGACCAGATCGAATCAGATCAGATCATATCCAATCAGAGATCAGACCAGATCGAATCAGATCAGATCCAATTAAATCAAACCAGATGAGATCAGATCAGATCCCATCAAGAATTATTATTATTATTATTATTATAATTATTATTATTATTTTGATTATTATTCTTAAAAATGAAGAAGAATAAACTTTAGAAACAAGTTAAATAGAAAACTGAGAAAGCAATCCTTAATTATTAGACGTCGGAAAAATTATTTTTAAAATACATTGACAATGTCAATCTAATTCTACTTTTAAAATACATTTTTATTGCTACTTGTAATTTGAGTTTCTAAAATTTTGATCTTTAATAAGGATGAGATATTTTAATAAAAATACTATCTCTTCTCTATGTTGATTATCTAAATTTAATTATGTTTTAATGTGTATATAAATTAAATGTTTATTCTAATGTATATATAATTCATTATTAAAATATTAAATCAATATTATTATTTCACAAAAAAATAATCATAAAATAAAAAATATTATTACATTATAATATGAATTAACTAATTTTATTTTATTAAAAAATAATCATAAAATAAAAAATATTGATTATATTATAATATGAATTATCATTACAATTTTCAAACATTATTATAAAGTCAAATCAAATTATTGATTTGAATTTTAAATCAAATCATAATTAATCAGATGAGATCAGACCAGATTAGGTCCAATCAGATCAGATTAGATCCAATCAGATCAGAACTACAAAAAATCAGATCAGATTAGAAAAAATAAGTTGAACGGAACAGAGCCTAATTTGGAGACGTTTGAGTTAGGTATGAGCGAACATGACAAAAGTTAGGTTCTTATCTGCTTAGATACCCATTCTTGTAATTCTAAAGCTCTCTCAAAAATCAAATTTAGCTTCTTGGACTTGATTCGTACCTTCATAGGTTCCCTTGAGTTTGTCCCACATTTCTTTTGTGGTGGTGCCGGTAGTCATCCGAATTGACCACCCAAAAGATCATGTTGATGGATTTGGCTTTTGTTTCCACTTTCTTAATGTCCAGAGCATCATACTCTTATTTTGTCTTTGGGACCGTTGTTTCTCCCACCTTCTGCAATGGCACTTACTCACTGTTTTTTATGATGAGCCATAGTTGAAAATTAGTGAATGGAATGAAACACTTCATCTGTTCTTTCCAATAGTTGTAGTTTTTCCCTTCAATGAGTGAAGGTCTAATGGTGGAGTGTCCTTCGCCTAAACTTGCATACAACAACTTGCATACAACATTCTTGAAGAAGCCATAGATCGCTCTCTCAAACTGTTGAGTCTTTTAGAGATTTAGACTCAAATACCAAATGTTAGAATGTATGCCTGACACTTGCGAGGGGGGGGGAGTGAATAGTGTGGCAAAAGATTGTTGGTACATTTTTGTGGAAAAAAACACAGGAATTAAATATATAGTTTGGAAAAGAATTTTTATACTCATTCACTACAACCCAAAGCTACTCGTCCTCGAATGGCTCCCTTAAGATTCCACTACCTCTGTTAAGCTTATATTAAGCTTATGAGTTCTTAACCGTTACAATTGCACGTAGATGTACCCTCTACAAGATTTCACACTGCTCATTTTCATCGCTTACAAAACCATGTGAATATTACAGTGAGAGCATGCGGCTCATTTTCATCGCTTAAAACTTCACACACTAAGATTATTGGTTTTTAGCAAATGAGAACACTTAACAAGAAAAAGTGATCTTCTTAAACATTTCTCTTATACTAAGAACTCTCTATTTCAAAGAGTGGATGAAGAGACAATATACGCTCTATGAACAATAATCAATCATCCCACAAATGGCGCAACAAAAGCTCTAGATTTGATGTAAAAATGATATACTCCCTCCGTCCCAAAAAAAGATTCCCAGTTTGACTTGGCACAAAGTTTAATGAAAGTGAAAATGTATAGTTCAAAGTGATACGAACAGAGTTTAGAGATTGTGACCCACTCAAAGTTTTCCATAAAAGGAAAGATAATACTTGTTTTGGGACGTCCCAAAAAGGAAATAAGGAGTCTTTTTTGGGACGGATGGAGTAATATTAATAATAATATAAAGTGAGAGGAAAAATTCACTAAAAAACAAGGCTAAAGATCTAAGATAACCAATGCCTAACCATTGCCTAAACCGCCCAAACCATAAAATAATAATGTGTCCAATGAGGCTTTTTTGGCAAAGCATTTGACTTGCCTATGCGACAATTAGGTGGTACCATGACAACATTGTGTCTTGCACTTTAGAATAACAAAAACCAAATAATATCACGGGTAGGTACTGTACATAGGGGATTATTCCTTCATTGATGCTTAAACCAATAAAAATAAGTGGCGGGCAACAAGCTGCATATGGTAGCATGCCATTAATGACATATGGAAGTAATGAAATTGCACCACTATTAGATTAATACATTTGAATAGATTAAAATTGTAAGAGCTATTTTGATGATATGACAATGTTTGCATTTCGTAACAACATTTTTTCATGGTGTTTCAAGAATATTTGTCACGGCGTCGCCTAGGTGTTCTGGCGCCCTTCTACTCTCGCCATGGGAGCTCGCCTCACCATGTTTTTATTTTTTTACTCCAGTGCTTTATTTTTTTTAAGTGTTTTATACCCTGACTCGAGTGCTTTATTTTTTTAATGCGTAGTGAACTAGTTTATTTTCAGTTTAATGTTTTTTTCTACTTTATTTTCCTAATTAATACTCAATGCTTAACTTTTTAAATGTTAAATGATTAATTTATTTTCAATTTAACTCGGTAATGCTTTTTTTCAACTTTGGTTTTTTTGAAAAATACCTAAAAGTAACTTTGGTTGTTAAACTTTGTCGTATTAGAAAAATTTAAACTTTATCAACTACAATATATAATGTAATATATTTATATTAGTGTTTTTAATGTATACCAAATCTCTTATATTATGTGTCGCCTAGTCAACTAGGTGTCCTGGCGAGCCCAACGTCGTGCCTCGACTTGGCGCCGTGAGAACTATGGTTTTCACACAAGGGGATTTATGTGTATCCCTCGAGATTGCATAACCCTTTGTTTGAGAGAGGGAAAATAAAGATGCAAAATAAAAGGGTGTGGATATATTGTGTTTGGGAAGGTGAAGGAAAATAACGGAGGATCGAAAATACCTTTTAATTTTCCTTCATTACTTTTCCTCCTAAAATGGGTGGAAAGTTCAAATAGTAAATGATTCTACATTCACCCTATCATTTAGGAGGTAAGATAAATTTATTTTCCTTCCACCCTATAATATCCAAACAAGAAGAGGGAAAATACTTTTTTTTTTCTTCCAATTTCTCCAACCTTATTTTCTCTCCTTTCTAAAAAAATATCCAAGCAAAGGGTAAAGGAATTAATGGGGTAGGAAATATTTTGAATAAATTTTATAAAAGGTTCCAAGTTATAGTTTGTTTTACATATTTAGTCCCTACATATCAAATGTCAATAATTTAGTCCCCAATTATTATATTGTTTTTCACGAATGGTCCTTTGTTAGTATTTTCGTTAAAAAATGTGGATAAAATTGTAAATCCGCACTTCTATCAATCCTCAATTAAGCTTCCTCTCTCCTCTCACACCCCTTTCCTAAATCTGTCGCTAAGTTTGAAGCTTGAACCTAAAACCGAAATCATCACTTCTCTCTCAATTGTTCGTCTTCCTGGTAATCCAAAATCGAAACCAGTAGCCTTCGTGGATGAGTTTTAAAGTTTGTTTTCTTTGCAATTTCCTGAGACTAATCCATAAAACTCATCCATGAAGGTTATTGGTTCTGATTTTGGATTCCACCAGGGAGAGGAACAATTGAGAGAGGAGTGATTGTTTTGATTTTGGGTTTAGAGCTTCAAACTTAGGGACGAGTTTGGGAATGAGTACGAGAAGAGGGAGGAAGCTTAATTGAAGAGAGAGGAGTGTGAATATACAATTTTATCCATGTTTTTAACGAAAAAAGTTAACAAAGGACTATTTGTGGAAAACAATATAAGAATTGGGGACTAAATTATTGATATTTGATATGTAGGGACTAAATATTAAAACGACCTATAACTGGTACTCAAATATATTTGTTTGCATTGTCACTTTGTAAAATTTTTAACATAGTATATTTCCTGAATGTTTCTTTCTTTAAAAAAATCAAGTCATCCATTAGGGTAACAAAAATTGAAATTTAAAAGAACAGTGATGCAACTAGGACCCAAAACATCAAATTGAAATAATCAAAGAGGTCAATTTGAAATGAACAATTACATGGTAGTGCATGTTGCAAGACCTATGTTAAGGAAATATGGACATCTTGTCAAGTTGTCACGCCACACATTCTAACAACTGTGGTTTAGTGAGGTCAATTTGAAATAAACAATCACATGTTAGTTCAATATATCATGACTGCATAGCCTATAAAATCTGGGCAACATACCCTTGTCTTTGTTGTATATAACTTTCATCTTTTAAATCGCCATGGATGAGCGCTTTATCACTATCCATTCGGAACAGTGGCAAATGCATCACAAATCCCATGGACAAAATCAGTGGAACATATGCAATCTTAGCCACAATCAATACTCATACTCGTACTCTACTTATATGGGTGTGGGTGTTCTTGCTTGCTACTAGTCTTGATTTAAAATGCTCAATTTCATATTCAAGGTCAACATTTAACGTATTTACCCATCGACAACCAACAATATACTTTCTAAGAGGAAAGGGGGTACCAATTTCCAAGCTCCACTAGAATTAAAGCCGCCAACATAGGTAGTCCCCACTCGAGATGAGAAATTGTCCCACAGGTGGCTTAAGGTATATGTACATCATGTGTGAATAAGACAATGAGAATAATACACCAAACCTAATATGTTAGTACCAGACATGCTTTTTGTACTGGGTCAATGACCTACAAGATGAGATTAATACACAATTGGAAGTACATTTATTTTAGTAAACTTAAATGCATTAATGCTTTAAAGTTATACTGGATTCAGTTTTGGTTTTACTATATAAATAGTAAATTTGGCATTTAAAGTGTAAATGGAACTTTATATAGAGATCTTCGCACTAGGAATTATCCAATAATGGTTTTAAGACACCATATTTGCCTTTCAAAGTGAAAACATGTGCCTGGACTTGGCGCCTTGAGAACTATGGTTTCCAGACAAGGGGATTTATGTGTATCCCTCGAGATTGCATAACCCTTTGTTTGAGAGAGGGAAAATAAGGATGCAAAATAAAAGGGTGTGGATATATTGTGTTTGGGAAGGTGAAGGAAAATAATTGAGGATCGAAAATATCTTTTTGTTTTCCTCCTAAAATGGGTGGAAAGTTCAAATAGTAAATGATTCTTTATTCACCCTATCAATTAGGAGGTAAGATAAATTTATTTTCCTTCCACCCTAAAATATCCAAACAAGAAGAGGGAAAATACTTTTTTCTTCTTCTTCCAATTTCTCCACCCTTATTTTCTCTCTCTAAAAAAATATCCAAACAAAGGGTAAAGGAATTAATGGGGTAGGAAAAATATCCAAACAAAGGGTAAAATTTGTAACATGGTATATTTCCCAAATATTTCTTTCTTTTAAAAAATCAAGTCATCAATTAAGGTAACAAAAATTGAAAACTAAGAGAGCAGTGATGCAACTAGGACCCAAAACATTAAATTGAAATAATCAAAGAGGTCAATTGGAAATGAACAATTACATGATAGTGCATGTTGCAAGACCATCTATGTTAAGGAAATACGGGCATCTTATCAAGTAGTCAAGCCACATGTTCTAAAAACTGTAGTTTAGCGAGGTGATAAGCGCTGTTTTTCAATCTATCATGACTGCATAGCCTATGAATTCTGGGCAACACACCCTTGTCTTTGTTGCATATAACTCTCTTTTAGATCGCCATGGATGAGCGCTTTATCACTATCCATTTGGAACAAAGGCGAATGCATCACAATTCCCTTGGACAAAATCAGTGGAACATATGCAATCTTAGCCACAATCAATACTTATACTAGTTCTCTACTTATATGGCCGTCGACAACCAACAATATACTTTCTAAGAGGAAAGGGGGTACCAATTTCCATGCCCCACTAGAATTATAACCTCCAACGGCGCCAACATATGTAGTCGCCACTCCAGATGAGAAATTGTCTCACAGGTGGCTTAAGGTATATGTACATCATGTGTGAATAAGACAATGAGAATAATACACCAAACCTAATATGTTAGCATCAGACATGCTTCTTGTACTCGGTCCATGACCTACAAGATGAGGTTAATACACAATTGGAAGTACATTTATTTATTTAAACTTAAATGCACTAATGCTTTAAGTTTATACTGGATTCAGTTTTGGTTTTACTATATAAATAGTAAATTTGGCCTTTAAAGTGTGTAAATGGAACTTTATTTAGGGCTGTTTGTTTCAGCCTCTTAATGGTTCAGATGTCTGAATGGTTCAACACTTAATGGTTCTTTGTTTCGTGAGCACATGTCTGAATGGTTCAGACATTTGCCTCTGAATGGTTAAGTATTATACAGAGTCTGAATGGTTAAGACCTCTTATCTGAATTGATCAGACTTTATATAGAGATCTTCGCACTAGGAATTATCCAATAATGGTTTTAAGACACCATATTTTCCTTTCAAAGTGAAAACATATATTTCATTTTCTTGAAACCTTCACTCTAAACCTTACATGATATTTTTTTACTACAAAGACACTAAGTAAATTAATTTCTTTTGTGTCTGAGAAGTTGTTGCATTGCATTAATGACTTCATGTTTTCTAACATAACTCAAACATACTAATTGAAGTAATTTTTTTCTATTTTCAGATAATTGTCAAGGGGTATGCACTATCAGGTGGTGGTCGGGGCATCGAAAGAGTTGAAATATCTATTAATAATGGTGAAACATGGATTGAAGCCACTAGATACCAAAAAGAGTGTGTTCCCTATGTTTCTGATGATTCAAGTAGTGACAAATGGGCATGGGTTCTATTTGAGGCAGAGGTTAACCTTTTACACAATGCTACAATAGTAGCTAAAGCGGTACGTTTCTGATTATGTGCATCAGAATTGATCATATTGAATATATCACTCAAGTATTTTGTTTTTAGTTGGATGCTTTGCATTTGCTGCTTTTTTCAATCACAATGTTTTAAAGCAATGTCAAAGTTCCTTTTGTAGACTTACAACAACCATAATCATGACTACACTAGTCCTTGAACCTTGTACCACTGAAAGAACCACAAATAGGGGAGGTGGTTCTAATCAAAGCAACTAACCCAAGTGATCCCTACTAGAAACTAGGTCATGCAAAAGATTGTGGTAGGGAACTGTATGAACAACCTTATAATCCACTCCAATCTAGGGAGCAGTGGATGACCACCATATCAGGTTATTATAATCCACACCATTGGTTCCCGTTGTACTCCCGTTTATATTAGTACATACATAAGGACTCACTATTGCTTCCCTTTGTAGCTCAGCTCCCCGTAATCCTGGTAGCCGGTGATTCAATGAGCATGAATAAACAGTCACATTCTACTAATAGACAAAATGGTTTTGTGCCTTTTCATTTTTTTCATTCCATTTTCATTCTGCATCTTATTATTGATGGATGACAGGTGGATTCATCTGCAAGTGTCCAACCTGAAAATGTTGAAGATATATGGAACCTAAGGGGAGTACTGAACAACTCATGGCATAGGGTTCAGGTGCGAGTGGCTCAATCAAACCTATAGACGTAATTGCTTGACTTCCGCCTAATGCTGCCCCTGCCAAGTCTTCGCTCTTTCCAAGCAAGATAAAGAGCCAAATCTTGCCCGCGTTGTGTTTAAAAGATTATGTATCCATATGCGTGGAGTTGCTATTGTTAGTGTCATAAATCAGAAAATTTGGAGTTGGGGTTTTCTTAAAACGCATAACTTTGATTCTTAAAAACATTGTATTAAGATGATAATTAATTTCTTTATTTAAATTAACAACCACATCCTAAATTTCAGTGTACAGGTAATTTACCATCAAGCTAAAATTGCAGCTTTAATGTGATCAATATGGTCTGTATAGAAACGATAAAAGTACTTTCGTTAAGTATTAACATAGAAAAAAAAATCTTGAGGAACCCTAAGTTAGACTACTTTTGACTTCAATGTCTTTAGAGATATTACAGACAAAGAACAGTACTGTGTGTCAAAAGTGTCATTCAAGTATTATGTTTTGTCAAAAATGCCATTCTCTAAAATGTTCAAAAGTGTCATTCAAGTATTATGTTTTGTCAAAAATGCCATTCTCTATTCTTCTCTTTCAATACTATCATTGAACTCTATAAAATATTTAAAATACCACTCAAATATTTTTAAATGGTCACAATGCTTTTAATAGGCAATTTTTTTTGTTCCTTTTCTTTAATTATATACTCTCTCCGTCCTAGAGTATTTGTCTATTTTTATTTTTACACATCATCCAATGTACTTTTTTAATCCATTTTATCTTGGGATTTGTATATTAAAAAATTATAGAAATTATATATTAATAATCTATATGTTAGGACAAATCAAACAAGATCACACATTACTATATTTAGGCTTACACATTGAGAGAATTTGATGAGTCAAAGTGCTTAGATGAACAGTTCTAAAAGTCAAAATTGAACAAAAACTAAGGGACGGAGGGAATACAATTTTTAAAGTTCTCTTGTTATTTTCTATGGTGCATTTACGTGCACAAAAATTAATTCTTTTAAAACATTATTTTGTAATACTCGTGTGTCGACTTAATTTTTTTATTAGGTTACAAAAATATAAAAAACGTGAAATTGGGAGGTTGAAAGTAATACAAAGAGGAGAGAAAGATGGTGAGCCATAAAAAATTGTTTAAAAAAACAAGATGATTAATTTGGGATAGAGAGCGTATACGATATTTTGTCATTTTTCATTAACAAAAATAATACCTGCATTTCAGGAAAGTTCTAACGTTTTCAATGTACATCACTGTAATATTTTTTACTTTGTTATCCTTTTAATAAGTTAACATGTGACTTGAAAACCTCTTTCTTATCTAAACAAATTCAAAACACACTCTTCACTTTTAGAAAAAAATTAATTAAGTCAAATTGTTTTCAGAAATTCAACAATGAAAAGTAGGAACTTTTAGTGGCATTTTTGAAAACTTTTAGAAAGTTTAATGCATTCGCCACTATTGCAAGAAAAAATAGAGTGTCGCACTTTTTACAAAACATAATATTTGAGTGATACTTTTGAATATTCTAGAGCGATCAATGGCATTATTAAAAAAATTAAGGTTGTGGCATTTTTGATAAAATGAATAGTTGAGTAGCATTTTCTTAGGGACACTCTTGTGTCTCTAAAGACATTGAGATCAAAAGTAGATTGTAACTTAGGGTCCCTCTAGCCTAAATCTAACATAGACGGGTATAAATAACCTCTCCCAATCAATTTTACAAAAATGACATTTTCTTGAGGGGATTTTCACCATATCACAATTCGATGCGCTTCTAGACCGCTCTAGTGTCATAAAAAATATACTCCCTCCGCCCCCTAAGATGTTCTCATTTTGACTTTTGGTGGTTTTTAAGGATAGTTGAAAAAAGGTGAAAGTTTACCATAATACCCTTAATGAAAAATGAGTGGAGTGTATTAAATGAGGTGGGTGAGGTGTAATAAATAAAGTAAGTGGGGGTAGTTGTGGTATTTTAATTGTTAAAAAACGAAATGAGAAGATCTATTGTGGACAAAGAAAAAGGGCTATTGGAAAGATCTATGAGGGACAGAGGGAGTACTCCGTATCATTTTAAGGTTTACACCTTTTGTGTTATCTATAGACTAGGGTGTGGGTAAGGTCTATTTATGTGTTTGCTATTTAGCTTTTGTAAATAGGTGTGAGTTTTTTTTAAATATAGTTTTAAAATAGTGTAATTATAATTTTTTTCTCATAAATTCTTCTTGCATGATTCTCTCATTTTTAAGAGTTGGTATCAAAGCCTAGTTATTTTTGAGAGCTCTTGCTGATCTTCTATCAAAAAAGGAGAGAAAAATATTCCTCATATTATCCCTAAAGAATATTTTTTATTCTAGTAGTATTCTATGATAAATTTACTAGCATAAGTTCTCATAAAATATTGCTCGTTGTTCGTGTGGATGCACTAGAGGTTAGAATGTTAGATAGTTTTGTGGCTACGTTCTTGGCACCAATCCCTTCTTCTACACCTTTCTATCTATTTTTTCATGTATTCCTCATGCAATAATTTACAAGTTTTGCAAGAAGGTCTTGTTTGAGGTGTTATTTTAATTTTTTCATTTTGATTTTCCATATTTTATTTTTTTATTTTGGGTTTTTTTGAACTTTCCAAAAAATTATTTTAAGTAACAAAAGGTGAAAATGTTTAATTTGAGATAGATGTAATGTATGTTAATTTTTTATTTCTATTTTTATTTCGAACGCAAAGAATTTTAAAATGTTTGAAACATTATAAAAAATTGAAAATATATCTTTAAAAAATATAGTAAAAGGAAAAAGACATAGAAATTTTTTTTAAAAAAAGGGAAGAATAATAAACGAAAATAAGAAATAAGCACGAATGCCCCCTATGGTTTAGAAATTATGTGTCAATGCCCCCTCTTCACCGGAAAATGGCCGGAAAATGATCAGAGGGAGTGTGGGTGCAACGTTTTGAAACCACGGGAACTTTAAAAATAAATTTTGAAAATAGATGGGGTATTGACGCCAATTCTCCAAATCACATGGGGCATTAGAGCTATTTGGCCATCAAATTAATGCTCCTAACAGCAAGCTAGATGGCGAGATAGGAGGACAAAAAATAATACTCCCTCCGTTCTCAAAAAGAGTTCCTACTTTGAAAAAGTGGAAAAATAAGGAAGTGTTAAATTGTAGTTGACTTCCAATTTTGCCCTTAATGTACATTGAAAATAGGTAGATTGTTAGAGAAAAAGTATGATGTGATAGGTATGGTATGAAAAAGTAAGGGTAAAAGTGGTTTTTTAATAGAAAGTGGAAGTGTTTTGTTGGAAGTGAAAAAAATGAAAGAGGAAATGTTTTAAAAAACAGAGGGAGTACTAGTAATTGAACAAAATGATGGATCCCCAAGATTAATTACTAATAAAACAATGCAACTAAAATAAGAAAAATTTACTTAAATAACACTAAAACATAATGATTTTCACTAAATACCATTTCATGTGTTTTTCTTCCCAACGTAGCACTTTTAGTCATTATACATTAGTCATTATTCAATCAAATATTCGCTATCATTGGATATTATAGACATTTTTAAATGCTATTTAGGGAATAAAACAGCTTAAGTACTACTCCCTTCGTCCTATAATGTTCTTCCCACACACTTTTTACACGGTCAAACTTAAATCACTTTCTTTACCTATTTTCATTAAGTAAATGATAAAATAATAGTCTTGTCACCACTTATTTTGTAAAACTTTTGATGTAGTTTTTAAATATATAAATTTTATTTTTTAATTTTACACCTACAATCAAATAAATTGAATTGAAAATAAAGTCGGTCAAACTTCGTAAAATGAACCGGGAAGATCATTATAGGACGGAGAGAATACTATTTAGGGAAATGACTTAAGTTCTAATGGGCTGCAAATATTTCCTAAAACAAATCAGTATTTGCATAGTCAAAACCGTTGATGTCACCCACCAGCCAACTCTCCAGCATAGCTGAAAACGGGACTTGCGGTTTGCTCTCGCCGTAAAACATGAAGGCCGAACCATCATCCGGTGAGGCGGACTGAGAGAAGACGTGGTCGTCCAAGGTCATCGATGAGTCGAACCCAATAATGGAACCAAATGCCGCGTTCAAACAAATCTCGTCTTTGCAAGGGTCTTCGCTGGAGGAGGATGAAGAAATATCCGCGGCGGCGGCGGTCGTTATAGTGGCATTGCTTTGGGTGGTTGAGTGCCAACTGGGAGTACCCGCGGAGCAGGACGTCGTCGCTGGAGTTCCCATCCAGCCCTTGAGCAATCTTGTAATGTTCTCGGCGCTGGATGGGTATAAGGCACTGTTAGACGGCTGGGTGTGTAGCCGCACAGGGGGCGGCCGGGCTTGATCAGATGCGGTGGCGTTCACTTCAGGGACGGAGAATTCCACTGCCGGGAGCAGGGTGGTGTTCTGCTGGTCAAGAGACAGAGCATCATTGAGGGCTTGTTTGGCTGTGTTTATATCCGCTTGAAGTGTCCTCTCCCACTGGCCTCTTGACGCTGATGATGATGAGAATCTACTAAGATTAGGCACACCACAGTCCCCCACAGATTCAACCATTCTTAGCTTCTTTTTCAAGTGCGTATTCCAATAGTTTTTAATGTCATTATCTGTTCTCTCTGGCAGGTATGATGCTATGGCAGCCCATCTGCACAAAAAACGTACTCCATCCATATTAGTATTAAACAAATCAAGTAATGTTACAAAAAAACAACAAATTAGTGAAATAGTTTGTCAGTTTAGTGTACATCATTATATTCCAGATCTGCCTCCCCCCGGCTAATTAGATATGGTAAATCTCGGTCAAGTGCTAATTAATTATAAGGTACGGATGGGAGGAACTCACTTGTTTCCTAGGAGAGCCTGTAGCTGGATAATCATCTTCTCTTCTTGGAGAGTGAAGTTGCCCCTCTTGATGCCCGGCCTCAGATAGTTAGTCCACCGAAGCCTACAACTCTTACTGCATCTTCTCAAACCTGAAATTTTAATACAGTAATTGAACCTTCACTATGTTACAAAACCAAGGGACAAAGTACGTGGCAGATAATGTCGAACTTGGGGAAGATGGAAGAAGTAATTAGGAGAGAAACAAACCGGTGTGAGAAGGAACGTTTCTCCAGTTGCCGGGGCCGTGTTCTTGAACATAAGAGACCAGCATGATGTCTTCCTCGGGAGTCCAGGGGCCTTTCTTCACCCCCTGTTTGTCGCAGCAAGGAGGCCTACCCATCACTTACTTAATTAGCTAGCTAGCTAATTAACTTCAGGCAAGAAAACCCCCGAATGCCCCGATCTATTATATAGTAATTAACTTGGTTTTTTCTAGATCGCAACT